AATAAATAAATAAACACAAGAATCTGAACAGAATTATGTAAAAAGTCCGAAATGCAAACTCAGAATTTCTGGAGGAAAAAAAAAGTCAACATTTTTGGCAAAATAATAACAATAATAATAATAATAATAATAATAATACATAATCATACATAAAAAATAAAAATGTAAAATAAAAAAATAAAAATAAATAAATAATAATAAATAAATAAATGTTAAATAAAAAAATAATAAAAATAACAAATTACAATTATAATAAAAAGAAATAATAATAATAATAATAATAATGATAAAAAAAATAATAAAAATAATAATAATAATAATTAAATAATAATAGATCACAATAAAAAAATGAAATTAAAATCACAAGATCTGAACAGAATTTAGAAAAAAAAGTGCAAAATGCAAACTCGGGAGGAAAAAGTTTCACAAATTTTGTCACAAAAAAAGAAAAGCAAGTCAAAAATGTGAGATGTAAACTAAGAGTTTCAAGGCAAAAAGTCATCATGAGTATATGACTGCAATTGTATGGAAGGAAAAAAACAAAATATTAACAAATCAGACACCAACTAATGTTTCTTTCCGACCAACAATAAAATATCCCATAATACATCACAATACAAGTTGATATTAGCTGTCAGATGAAGTGTGAGCTGACCTGTGCGGACGACCACAGCTTTGACCATTTCTCCAGTGTAGTAGCGGGTCTGGATGACGTTTGTTCCGCAGAAGAGTGTGTGCCTCTTGTGCTCCTCTGTGCTGTAAATCTGGTCTCCGTCTGAACCCTTCTTGTCCCGCTCAGGGTTCGGGAGATCTGTCTTGGTGACCGGAACACTCTCACCTGACAGCAGAGACCAGGAGAAGTTAATACAGTCACTCATCCTTATTTTATTTACAAAGACATTTGATTTACAATACCGTTCAGTCAGAAAGATACATCAAACATTATAATAGTGACCATAAATAATAAAACACAAAAACATGACCTTTGTAAAACAGGGTTTCTGCAGGTTTCACCTAGTTAAGTTTAAGACATTAAGACCGCTATGAATGAAATTGTAGACTTATACAGGGCTAAATGCTAAAGAGTTGTTTTTCAAATATCCCAGTTAGAAAAGATTTTTACGTATAAGATGTCACACAGGCGAAGCAGACCTGTCTCACATGTTTTGGACGTGCCCTAAGCTTACTCCTTACTGGTCAACTATATTCAATACATTGTCTAAAGTGTGTGAAGTACAGCTTAGGCCATGTGCAGAATTTGCTTTGTTTGGGATTCCACCTGACGAACTGAGTCTGACTCAAAGACAACAAAACATAATGGCCTTTGCATCTTTGCTGGCTCGCAGAAAAATTTTACTGCACTGGAAATCTGTAAATCCACCTAAAGCATCACACTGGCTTCAAGATCCGATGTTATATTTACACTTGGAAAAAAATAAATATTCAATTAGAGGCTCTAGCAAATTCTCATAGGTATGGCAACCCTTATTATCATATTTCTGTCTTGTATGTAACTGGAATCTTTTTTCTTTAATCCCTTTGTCCTTTCTTTCTCTGTCCAGAATCTCAAGCTTCTTCTATGTTAACTTACCATTGTAAGATAGCACAGCCTTATCCCTGATCGTATCACCCATTACTATTGAAACTCTATTTATATATGTATTTATTATTATTTTATTTATTTATGTATGTATTTATGTATTTATTTTTTTTATTTTTCATAGATTTGGCACCTTTTTATAATTATTATTATTTATTTTTATAATCACTTTTTTTTTACTATTGTTCTTTAGGCAGTGTTTTTAGGGTTTGTTAAAGTGGGTTTTTATATGTATAAAAAAATTCTAATTTTCTGTATAAAGTGTAATTTGTTCTTGGCATAAAAATAAAGGAAAAAAAAAAAGATTTTCACTTGCCCTATCAAAAATTATTAAAATTTAATACATTTAATAATACAATAACAATAATATTGTTAGAATATTTTTATGAATTTTCTAAAATATTCATTTCCAAACCCTATAACCCTTACCAAGATTGCAAAACATAGCTGTCATTTACTTGAGTCTATAATAATCAAAATAATAATAATATTAATAATAACAATAATCATCATTATCATTATAATTATTATTATGATTTACATGTTAAGTCATTGCAAAGACGCAAATTGCGCAAAGCGAATGACGCGATATGCTTTAACTTAAGCGTTTTGCGCGTTTCATGCGCTTAACGTGAGTTTTGTGGTAATTGCTCAAGTTGAAAAATTTGAACTTCAGCGAACATTCGCACTGCGTCAACCAATCAGGAGCTTTCACTTGTAAGGGCATGCTTAAGACGTAGCGCGTTAGGACACGGTTATTCTCTCAATAAAATCCATGTTAGCCATTTAGCAACAAAGCTACAGTCACCGGACAGACAGAAGCCCTGCCCATGACGTGAATCCGCATCTGTTCTTAAGTGAATTTGACGTGCGAATGAAGCGGATTTGACGCGCGAATGACGCGAGTAAACTAAAATGTTCACAAGTCTATTTACGCAAGAATAGCATGATTTATCCGAGCGTTCCGTGTCTGGTGTGAGCATTACCCTACTCCTTTAAGCTAAAGAGAATTGGGACACCTCTACCCCTTCACAGGAACATGCAAAACAAGGGGTAGGGGTAAGGGGAAGGGCTAAGGGCTGAGGGGTAGAATTGGGATTGAACCTAAACATCTGTATTATAATGAATTAGCATTAAATATTAACCCTTAATTGAATTGCCCTGCTCCAATGTGCTCATGATCAATCTTAATGACATCACACCATGAATCAAGCAATCACCTGTCAGCATGCTCTCGTTTACGATGCAGGTTCCACAGATGAGCACGGCATCGCAAGGCATGATGGTCCCATTGCTAGGAATGACGATGACATCACCAGGCACCAGGTCTGTGGACAGAGCTTCCTCCGTTTCTGAAACAGGTAAAAACAGAAATGATTCCCTGCACAGGAGGCAGAGTGCTGATTCACCATGACAGACTGCACTTAAATTACACACCGCTTTCTCCCCTGCAGACTGTGACTCGAACAGTACTGTGTGTTGCCACCATGTCGTGTAGCATTACATATTGCTGGAAAACAAACACACACAAAGTGTGAAGAACAGATAAAAATTCTTCTGACCAAACACAGACACAGTTATGCAACTGAACATTAGCATCAACTGTACTGCTGGATATGCTTGATCATCAGCGCCTATAGACAACATGCAAGCACAATCGTTACACTGCTATTACAAACAATGTCTTTAGCCCCTTTCACACATACAGACCTTTCCGGAAAATTGCCGGCAATTTTCCGGAAAGCTTGTATGTGTGAACAGGTCCTTTTTGAAAATACCGGTAAATTCGTTCTGGCTATTTTCCGGAAAGAGAAGTTGTAACATTACCGGCAATTTGCCGGAAAGCTGCGCTGTGTGAATGCAAAAGGAAGATTACCGTAATAAGCGCGTACACGTCTAGAACGTGCTGACGTGAGACGTCTGCTTTAGACAATCACAACAGTCAGACGCATTTACGTCCGCGCGGTTTGTGAGAATAAAAACCTTTGAATATTTTTCCAGACACATTTAGCTGCTAGAAGTTAGTCAGATCACGTTTATATGTTCTTCTTTATGCCAACTGTGTAAATAATCATCAATGAGATGCTTATGATAAGCTGTTGTTTGTTTACCTTTAAGCTTTGCGTGTGCCTTTGAAACAGCCTGTGAGCGCCTGCACACGCACATATTATGAACATCTCGACATGAGAAAGTGATCCTGCGAAAGTTGTTCACAATATTGATCATCCACAGAGTTTGTAATTTAGTCAAATGTTTACAAATACAAGCGCAGCCGTTTAAAGCTCATTTCTGGTTAATGATGTCAGAATTTACCGGTATTTTGGAATGGATGTGTGAATGCTCTTTTCCGGAAAATTTCCGTAACGTCCTCGCCTGTGTGAACAGCGCTTTTTTGAATATACCGGTAAAGTCGTTCCGGAAATTTTCCAGATATTTACCGGTATCACTGTGTGAAAGGGGCTTTTGTTTTATTATGATTCAGCATTGCATTATATGAATAAAACATTTCAGTAGTAAGTACAGTTCAAGTCAAAATTATTAAACCCACTTTGAATTTGTTTTTCTTTTTTGAATATTTCCCAAATGATGTTTAACAGAGCAAGAAAATTTTCAAAGTATGTCTGATAATATATATATATATATATATATATATATGTA